GACCCCTTGGGGCCAATGTCCAGGCTTTACCCATCTGCTTCAAGCAGATAATCCTTTGGGACATCCCTGTTCCCCAGCCCAAGGCTCCTCCCAAGGCAGGCAGCCCCAGAAGTGGGCTCGCTCCCCATCCCTCACCCTGTCTCCTCTGGGAAGCACTGATGCCACATGCAAACCCCAATTTTGGGTGTGCAAATCCTCCTCCAGTGGAGATGTGTGGGTGTGGCACTTGGGGACATGGTTTAGTGGTGGCTTTGGGAGTGCTGGGGGAACTGTTGGACTTGATGATCTTAGAGAGCTTTTCCAGCATTAATGATTCCACACTTCTATGGATATCATGGAGGAGGGCAGGGGGTCCAAAGCCCCTGCATGTTCTTCAAGATACAGCTTTTACTGATTTACCTCCCTGATTTTACCTCCCTGGTTCAGTGTCCCGCACATACACATCTTGGGGAAAATGTGTGGATTTTGGGGCTCTCTGCAGACACAAACTGGCTGCAGTGCTCTGGTTTGAGGTGGGACGTGTCCTGAAGGCACACTCTGCACATCCACGCTCAGTGTTGCAACTCTTCTGACTCTGAGCAGGGAAGTGGTGATGGAACTGAGCCCAGCCTCTGTCTTGGGAGGGATGCTGGAGGGCTGGGGTCAGGGCAAGCCAGGGAGTTCTCGGTGCTGCACAAAGCTCTAAAGTCCCAAAAAGGAGGAACTTGCATGGAAAGGGTGTTTTGTTTGCTCTGGGAACTGTGTCAAGCATCTGCTGCCAGCGGGGAAGGTGGCAGCCCCAGCTCTGGGGTAGACAACCAGGTGGGCAGATTTTTGTGACCATCTGGGGAGGGAGTGAATGGCTTCGTAAACATGCCACGGCTACTGGGGTCTTGCAATTGCAGCACGGGACATTTTGGGTGGGGGTTGGCCCCAGCCTTGGGTGCATGGGGACAGCAGGGGTCAGGCTGGATGGGGATGGTGGCACAGGGTGACCTCCAGCATGCAGCAGGCAGAGCACCAAGGCTGCCTCCAGCTCCCAGCAGACCTTTCCAAAGGGTTTTGCTCCTTTTCTGATGATTGGATACGGGTTATTTTCATCCCTGAAATGCAGGGATGCCACCGAGGGGTTGATGTTGTGGAGGACAACCAAAAGGGACTGTAAACCCCTTGGCTGGTGTTTGAGGAGCTTTGGAGACCTTTGGAAAACCTGCTGGACGCTGCCCTTGGCGGGAGCACCCTGGGCACAGGCAGAATCCGGCCACCACGGGGCTCTCGGCAGCACCAGCAGCTCTCCCCCAGCAGTGTCACGATGACAAATGTTTGTCTTTTCCGTCCAAGAGATTACAGTGGAGCCGCTGCCAGCCCCACGTCTCAGTGGAATTGGTGTGTGCTCTGCCAGCAGCGTTACCGGCTCATGATTCACATCTTTGCAGCAGCTTTGGAAGGAAAATGTGCTTCTCGCCAGGCAGACCTTCACGCACATCGAGATGCCACGGTTTTTCCAGACTTTCCAAAGGAAGCCAAGTGAGACATTCCTTCTCTTCTTCCAGCTTTCTTGGAACAATCTTCTTTGATTAGTGAGCGAGACAGATAGTTGGAAAGACAGACGGACAGGCCAGGAATAGGGTTGTAATGAGCCCCAGTTGCCGGTGGGAGGGGAGGGTCCCTCCCTCTGCCCCTCTCTGGGTGGTTGGTAAGAGGCCCTGCTGTTCTCTGTGGTTCCCCACCCCTGCCCTCTTCCATGGTCCCCAAATCCCTGCCCTCTTCCATGGTCCCCAAGTCCCTGTCCTCCTCCATGCTCCACAACCTCTTGTCCTCCCCCATGGTCCCCAACTCCCCATCCTCCTCCATGCTCCCCAAATCCCTGCCTTCCTCCATGGTCCCCAACCCCCTGTCCTCCTCCATGATCCCCAACCCCCTGCCCTCTGCTGTGGACCCCATCCCCTGTTTCCCTCCATGGTCCCTGACCCCTTCCTTCTGCCCTGGTCCCCAAGCAGCATCTCCTGGGGCGGATTGGAGCAAGGATCTGTCTCACCAGGAGGATCACTCTGCCCTGAGGCACAAAGCAAAGGAGCTGGGGTTTGCTTTGCCTGTTGGGCCTAAGCCACAGGAAGCCAGGTTGGAAAAGCAGCCACATGACTCAGGCATGGCTGGCAGATTCCGTGCAAGGGATGGGGACAAGGCTGGGGTTCAGGGAAGGAGATGGGACTTCCTGCCTTGCTCCCTGCAGCTGCACCCCCTCAGCCTCCCCAGCCCTGGTGCTCGCTCCCACACCAGCAGGAGAAACAAAACAAGCATCTCCAGGGAATGTGTTTGGAAAATACCAGGTTTTATTAGACAGGCTGATGTTCAAGCTGACAGTTTTATCCCAATGCACACGTTCACGGGCATCTACACAGGCCTGTGTTCCAGCTCCCTCCCTCCCGCAACGCTCTTGGGTGAGACGCTCACCGCCCCAGTGCTGCGGGTGCTTGGGGTTTCTTAGCAGAATGAAAAGGCCTCCTTGCTCCCCATTTTCACTCCCACATTCCCAGAGATCTCCTAAGAAAGCTCAGCAAGAGCTGGGCTGGGAACTGCAATCCTCTTGGGACTGACGGCCACTTGGAGCCACGGGAGAGGAAGCATCGCAGTGGCGTCATCTCCCCGAGCCAGCACGGAGCCGAGCCATCGTGTGTGGCGGGGAGCAGGGAACAGACCACCACTGCTGAAGCCACTGATTCAGAAAGAGAACCCAAGCACACCGTATCAGAGGGGGAAAAAGGTTTTTGCTGTCACAGAGGAGCCACATCCAAGACACGGGCACAGGGCTTTGGACGGGGCGTGCAGGTGCCGAAGGGCAGAGGAAGGGAGGAGAAGAGGCGATGAGGACTGGAGAATAAAGCAAGAGAAAAGGAAACCAAAGAAAGGATGGGGAGAACAATGGGAGCAGCCTGAAAACAGAGCAACAGTGCCTTCAGGGTCAATCCTCCTTGTGGGGTGGGGGGCCTTTCCCTGGCTACCCCATGGGCTTTAGGGGGACAGGGCAACAAGGACAGAGATGGTGCGATACAAACCTCGCAAATAGAAATGTTTGATGGCCTTTGCTCAATGTGACAGTGACACACGGTGCAACAGCAGGAACAGTGGCAGCATTAGCCTGTTTCTGTCAGTGTTTCAATTCCATTACCTCTTGAGAAAACCATGCAGACCAGCCGAGCAGAGGGGACTGAGCAGTGAGACGGAGAGGGACACCGATGAGCAACGGGATCATGTACAAGAAAGAAGGAACAGCAGTGGAGGGGCAGCAGCGCTTGGGCAGGTTTGAAACATCACTTTGAGCTCATGCACTGACTCATGAGCACATCATTTCTCTCCAGGCTGCTCTGGCTGCTGCTCTCTCTGACGTTCTGCTTGCCTTCCCTTGCACCTCCAGTCCCTCTGCACTGCAGGCACAATCCCTCTGCCTGAGCCATGCCCCTTCCCATGCTTGGATGTAGATTTGGATCTTGGCTTCATTAGTTCAAATGTAAAGTCCTACCTCAAAGCAGAGGTCAGGAGAGTGGAAGTCCCTGGGGCAGCGTCCCCCCAAAACTCACCTGGACTCAAGGGGACCTTTTCTTCGCAGCACATGGGGAATGTGGAGCTCCCACAGTTCTCCTGCCTTAGCTCACATCCCGCTGCACATGTGGAGATGTGGGGTACTGCCCCTCACAACCTTCCCATCACAACACAGCCTTCCATTCCTAGCTTTCTCTTTCCCTCTTTCATTCCTTTTGCCTTTTTCTTGCCTCAGCCAGCACCTCCATGTGCTCTTGCTTCTGTCAAAGGTTAGTCCTGCTCCAGAGGTTTCACCATGGACGTTTGGCAGGAGGAAGGACGAAGGATGTTCAGCAGGTCCAGGGTGGGCTTGAAGGTGCCAGTCTCCATCCAGGACAAAAAAATCTACCTCCTGGTTGGTTTGGGCTTGGGTAAGCAGCCAGCTGTGCTGTCCATGAGGGCCAGGTTTCAAGGTCAGCTGTCCATGGGGAACCTCACCCTGCTGGGGTGCTTCCAAAGCAATACTCCTTCAGGACTGAGCAGCAATGCTCAGAAATGAGCCAACAAATGGCTAAAATGGGAGGAGTTTGGAAAACAAGCCCCAGAAACCTCCCTGGACTGTCCTGGGGAGGGCAGAGCAGCAGGTGGGCAAAAGGGATGTGACCTTTTTCACTTCACAGCTAGTGACCCCCTGTTCCTGCCTCCCTCCATGGAGCACAAAAACATGGGGGTCTGACTGAGAAATCATCAACATGGACTTGAACAAGGTCAAACTGCCAAATCCTCACCCTCAGAGCCCTGCTGGTCCGCAGGCAGGACTTGCCAGCATGGATTTTGAGTTAATGACACTCACAGGCACAAAGTGCCCTCTCCTGTGCTGACACAGGGGAAGAAAACCCTGCTTACAGCTCCTCGTGGGAACCATCTGGTTTCGGGTGCTGGCCCTTCTCCTCCAGCACAGCTCAGCAACTGCTGGCCTCTCCTTTCCAACCCACTTCCTCCTCTGACATGGACTTCCAAATCCCATCACGGCTACTTGTCTGGAGCTAAAGACACCCCTGCAAATGCCCCTTCTTAAGGTGAACACCCAGGTGAAGGCTGCAGAGGATCAACTCAGCTGTTAAATGGAAGGAGAACTCACCAGGTGACCTAGAAGTCTTGGAAAGAAAAACAAGATCAATATTTGCCGAGATTTGTAGCATGTTTGTGCGAGAAAACAACAGCTGGGTCCTGGCCTCTCTTTCCTTGAGCAGCACTTTGTCCTGGGGCTCCCGGTGGTGCCTGGGTTAGTGTGTCACTGCTCTCCCCTGTGCTGTCACGCCGTGCCCTCCTGCTCACTCCCTCATGTCTTCAGGGATGCAGAGGTTGAAATTCCTCTTCACGCACTCTTGGCATCAGTGGAAAAGCAGCTGCTGTTCTAGCTCCCCGTGCATTGCTCATACTTACAGCTTAAACATTGCCTTCTACTCGAAAGAACAAAGGTAAAATGTCAGGAATTCACAGTTTTTATTCTCTTTCTTATGCCCACCCATCTTCCCCTGCCATCGAGGTCAACGACTCAAAGTCCTCATCGTATGGCAGCCTTTGCCAGCGCGGCACTCAAAGGGTTAACAAACCATGGCTTTTTGGACAGATAAGACATAAGCTCATTCACCAGTAGGAACATGTGGACGGTTGGGTTATGGATCACCTTAGGGTTTCCTGTAGCGATTCTTTGGGGTTTCACCACAGCCAGTGACGTCGCAGGAGAGGACGTTGGGCTTCTTCCCCAAGCCGATGCTTCCCAAGAGATCGGGAAGTTCGCGGGTGATGGCCTTCTCAATCTTCTCTAGGAAACACCCTCCCATGTAGGAACACTGCTGAGACAGCAGCTTAAAACTGGTGATGGGGTTGATGCCAAAGAAGTCCTTGTAAGCCTCACGGTTGGGGAGGTCAAATTTGCTGACATTGGTCTTTGCCAGAATGGACTTAAAGATAAAGTACCTGTCAGGATCTTCCACAATGTCCCTGAACACCAGTTCTCCATCGCTAAAGAAGGTCATTTTGTCCTTGTAGGTCTGTAGGTAGCGATCGACCAGGAGGGCGTGGATGCGCACACGGATGGCGTGCTGGCGGATGAAGGCAATCTTGTTTTCCATCCTGTTCTCAATCACCTGGTTGAGATCCTCCAGGAGCGATATCTCTTCCTTGAGGAACAGGTCTCTGTGGGTTTCCGGGTGGTAGTCGTGGGGCCAGAAGGAGCTGACGTACACCCTGGGTGGCTCTGTGACGTTGATGAGAGGAGCCAGGCTCCAGAATAAGGCGCCGTAGACTCTCATCAGCTCCTGGGTGGCCAGGCTGTCGGCTTTGTTCAAGATGATTCGGATCTGAGACTCGCGGCCCTTCAGCTGGCGAAAGAGCATCTCCAGCTCCAAGCCCACGTCCAGCTTCGTGGGGTCAAAGACAACGAAGATGAGATCGGCTCTGTCAATGAACCACTGGCACACGTCGTTGAACGGGTAACCTTCGGGAGAGGAAAGAGAGAAATCCAGCAGTAGTGGCCGGCACAGTCCCTTCATCAAGAGATAGATAAACCTTGAGCCTGTCGTGCCTTGTGCCCCATTCAGGTTGGATGGGGTTTGAGGCACAGCGGACTTCCCCTGCAGCCTAGAAACTGTTTCTCATGTGCTAAAACACTTCAGAGATGTAAAAATCCATCTCTGGATGTCTGAGGCTGTGACTACCTGTCTCCCTCAGGTCCCCCTTGAAACCTTTCTCCCTACTGTAGGCCACAGGTTCCTGCTGCTCCCGTGAGCAGATATTGAATCACAGGATCACAGAATCCTTAAGATTGGAAAAGCTCTCTGAGATCATCAAGTCCAGCCATTCCCCCAGCGCTGCCAAGGCCACCACTAACCCATGTCCCCAAGTGCCACATTCACATAGCTTTTAAATCCCTCCAAGGGTGGTAACTCCACCACCGCCCTGGGCAGCTGTGCCAGTGCCTGACCACCCCTTCAGAGAAGAAATTTTCCCAAATAGCCAACCTAAACCTCCCCTGGCACAACTTGAGGCTGTTTCCTCTCCTCCTGTCCCTTGTTCCCTGGGAGCAGAGCCTGACTCCCACCTGGTTCCCCCCTCCTGTCAGAGGGTTGCGGAGCAAGAAGGTTCCCCCTGAGCCTCCTTTTCTCCAGGTTGAACCCCCCCAGCTCCACCAGCTGCTCCTCATCAGACTTGTGCTCCAGACCCTTCCCCAGCTCTGTTCCCTTCTGTGGACACGCTCATCAGCCACATCATTGCAGATACCCAGGTCAGGGAGCACTGCTGATCTGTCCTGACACCCTGGGTGCTCTGGGAACAGACTGCTGCTTCTCTGGGCCCCACTGTAGCACCAGCCGTTGGCTCCAAGGGTGACAAACAGGGCATTAATTGGTGAGCCGAGGTGGACAATCAGCAGCCCAAGGAGTTCTCAGGAAATAACAGCAGAAATGTCTGCTCTGTGTATGTTCCCCAGGTCTGAACCGCTGCTGCCATAGCCATGGGGGTACAAACGTCACCATCCCCTCCAGTGCAAGACCCCTTTTGTGGCCCAGGGCTCTTCCCCATTGTGCTTCAGCCACCTTTGTCACCTCAGATCATTATGGCATCTTTTCTGGGGTCCCCCAGGTGAACCCAGTGAACCCCTACCTCGTTCTTGCTGCTTGCGGTTTTCGATGATGCCCGGGGTGTCCACAAAGGTGACTCGCTCCAGCAGTTTGTGGGGCACCTCGATCCCTATCAGCTTCTCCAAGAAGTTCTGCCCAAACTTCTCCAGGGGCGAGAAGGACCGGGCGCTGTCAGCAGCCATCACGATTCCCTCGATGGTCTTCAGCTTGGGGCCGTGCATGATGACAGTGAACTCGGAGGTGGTGGGTTCTGCCCCTGTGCAACAACGAGAGGAGCAGCAGAGGTGTGAAATCCATGCCAGGTTATGGACACAGCAGGGCTGGCCTGAGACTGGGAGCGTTGTGAGCACCAGGAGCATTGTGTGCTTTCCAAGAGATGGGGCAGGGCAAGTACTAGGGCTGTGAAATTCCTGCCCAGACTTCTTGGGAAAATGCCAGTAGGGCTTTTCTGTTTTCTATGGGGGCTGGTTGCTCTGGAAGTGGCCTGACTGCATAAGGTGCCCTGGGAAACCACCTCCCAGGAGCCTCATTACCACAGTGCTCTCAGCTGTAAGAGGACATCTGTGGGAGCAGGGAGGAGGGGAATGACTTTTCTCCTGGGAGGGTGAATTATCTGGCTCCATGTGAGGAGGAGGGATGGGGGGAAGAAAAAGGCAAGTTGCCTTTGTGATGTGACCGCTGCTGTAGGGGTTGGGGGCCTCATCCCTGCGCTGCAGGATGAGGATGTTGTGGGAGAGACACCTTCCTCCACCCTGGGGAGTGGGACAGGCTCTGGGCTGTGATGGGGAACCTTTCTGTAATGGCACCACAGCCAGGTGGGATGGAGCAGATCCCAACCTCCCTGCTGTAACAAGGGGGATCAAAGGCACGTGGCTGGGAATTGTTGACCACAAGGTGTGGAAATGCAGAGCGGTGAGCGTGGTACCTGTGTACAGCTGGTAGGGAGTGTTGTCCAGCCCCAGGAGGTAGTTTATCATGGAGGATTTGCCGACGCTCCACGGTCCCAGGAATAGCACCATAGGCTTGGAAGTGATCTCCCCATCTGCGGAGAGGGGAAATAACAAGAGGAAGTGAAGGAACAATAGCCGCCGCCGCCGTGCCATTAACTCCCGGCTGTAACGAGCATCCCATCCGAGCAGCGCGGTGGTGCTGCCGGGGCAACAGCCGCCCCTCGGGGGCCACCAGCCATTCACCAGCCAAGGCACTGCCCAGCGCCGGCCCCGGGACGTCCCCGTGCTCTGCGGCAGAGCCCACCTCGCTGCCTGGCGTTCCCCGAGCTTTGGCCCTTCTGCTACGGAGGACTGGAAGGTCTTTTAAACCTTGTCTCGGTTCAGTCCTGGTTTAGCCGGGATGAGCCTGGGGCTGGCTGCGGGGCGGGGGTGTTGTTCGAAGGCAGCCGCCGCAGAGCACGGGAGGTGCCAAGGAGGAGGAGGCCATGCCTGAGCCGGGAGAGCACCTCGTGCAGAGGGAGCTGCTGTGGTTTCAGGAGCTTCGGGGCTCGGTAAGCGCGGTGCAAGCCTGGTGTCAGCTGCCTGCAAGCCTTTCTTCCGCATCCTCACAGGGATCTGCCCCCGGGTCGTGGCTCCCAACCCTCTGGCCAAACAGGAGGTCACTGCCTGGGTGTGAGCCGGGTGTGAGGCTCCAGCTGGGTGTGGGGAGGGCAGGCCGGGCAAATAGCCCCACTTTGGGCTTGGGGGAAAGACAGGAGGAGAGTGAATTATAGTCCCTATCCCACACTCTTAAGTCCAGCAGTTTTCCCCAGGAGGCTGGTGATGCGCCCACAAAGACCTGTCCTCATGCCATGCCATGTGTCCAGGAGCACGGAGATCCCTGGACACACACAGCCAGTGCCCCCCCAGGAGCAATCCCTGCTCAAATGGGACTCTTGCAATCAGCCTGTGCCCACAGTGCCCAACCCCCCCAGCCCCCAGGACACCGAGCAGGCAGTCAGCAGAGCCAGAGGAGGCCCTGGCCTGTGCCAGCCCCCAAGCTGTGCCCAGGATAGCCAAGAGACTGATGGTCGGCTCAGGTCCAAATCAGGCCAGGAATGGAAGTAAAAACTGGGTGAGTGAATTCCAATTGGTGGGAACCAACCCCATCCTACACTCAGGATGGGAGAGGGTCCATCCCATTGTTGCCAGCAGGACTCCAGCCAGACGATGGGCTGGATGACACCAGAGGGGCTGGGACCTGCTGTCTCAACCAGAGCTGAGCCTTCCACCGTGACCCAAGGCAAGGAGATGCCCTTGAGCTGTGCTGCCCTCGGCACCTTCTCTTCATCCCTACACCTAAGGCAGAGCTATTTTCCCTTAAGTAGCTGAGTGACCCTGCTCCTCCATGGCTGCTGCCCACACAGGAGCCGGCAGATTTCCATAAAGCCAGGGATCCATCTTCGACGTGGGGAAAGCCTCAAAGTCCCCATGGTGCTGAGCTCCTGCCCCGAGGGCACTGGAGGGCACTGCATGGCAGCTCCACACTGAACCCATCTGACCATGGGCACAGGAGCTGGGCAGAGTGTTCCAGTCTCCTCCTGCCCATTGCAGAGCCATCATGTCACCACCAGGCAAGGGAATGGGCTGGGGACATCTCTCCACAGGGCACTGCTGCATCCATGCAGCTCAGCCCTCCGCCCCAAAGCAGGGCAGCACCTCCAAAGCAGGGGATGGATGGCCTTTTCTGCTGCCTGCTCCCTGCCTGCAAGCCACGGGGATCCAACCTTATCATCTCACACAGGACCAAACCAAATGTTGAAACCTCAGACTTTCATTATTAATCATTCCTTTGCCTCTCTGTCGCCGCTGCTCTGCTCACTTGCCAGCTGTAATCGGGTTTCAGATGGTTGTTAATAAGTATTATTATTATTCCCCCTGTGATGTTGTGCCAGAGGTTTGGGGTGGGTCCCCGTGTGCTCTTTCATAACACGTCCCCAGCCAGGTGTGGCTGTGTGAACGTGGGCACCCGAGAGCTCCGGCTCCGCTGCACGTCCACCCCTCTGCCAAGGGGCAGCCCCTCTGCCAGGTCACCCACAGCTTGTGGAGCCCACCTCTGCCCCCCTGGGCCGTGTGGGCAGTGCCAGGCACTGGGTCCTTGCAGCTCTGCAGGGAGCGCAGCAGCTTCCAGGACACGAGGCCAGGTATGGATTCTCCTGCCCAGAGTCTGAGAGCAGGGAGCATCTCCCACCCGGGAGGGTGTCGGCCTGGCATCTGTCCCTGCTGTGTCCCCGTGCCGTGTCTGTCAGCAGCAATTTGGGTCACCTTGACGGTCCGGACAGCGGAAAAGAGCCAGAGCTCGCCGCAGGCTGGGCTGGGACGGCGGCAGCTCCAGCACGGCGGCTCTCTCCAGCCACCCTGTGGCTGCTCGCTCCCAGCTCAAGCTCAGACGAGCCTCCAGCTCATCCCCCCGCAGAGCCCGTGTCTGCTTGGGCTGCTCAGCTCTGGGGGTTGCAGAAAATTGCAATTCCAATTTGCATGCCCAAGTAGTTTTTCTTTCCTAGAGCAGTGGCTTTCTGGGAGGTTTTTCCCTGTGGCAATGCCAGGCTGCCCTTTGTTAGGAACATTGCTGCTCTGGGCCAGGAGACTAGATGGCTTAGAGCCCCTTCCAGTGCCTAAAGGGGCTCCAGGAGAGCTGGAGAGGGATTTTGGACAAGGGCCTGGAGTGACAGGACAAGGGAGAATGGCTTCCCACTGACACAGGGCAGGGTTAGATGGGATATTGGGAAGGAATTCTTGGCTGGGAGGGTGGGGAGGCCCTGGCACAGGTTGCCCAGAGAAGCTGTGGCTGCCCCATCCCTGCAAGTGTCCAAGGTTGGACGGGGCTTGGAGCAACCTGGGATAGTGGGAGGTGTCCCTGCCCGTGGCAGGGGGTGGAATGAGATATCTTTAAGGTCCCTTCCAACCTAAGCCATTCCATGATTCTATGATTAACACTGGGCCAGGTGTTCCCTCTCCTTGTCCTCAAGCCCAGCAGAAGGGCCTGGGCCAGCTCACCCCCCATGTGCAAGTCTGTCCTGAGGATTCTGGGCAAAGCAGAGGACCTGGCAAAATCTCCTTCCTCTCCTGGTTGAGACTGAGCCACAGACACAAAGGTCTTCTCTGTTCTCAAACCACCCAGGAAGGCTGAAACACCTGGAGAGACTCTCCCAGCATCACCCACGCTGCCACCCCATCTTTGAACCACAAACACCACCAGCCACCCTGCCCACGGCACGGATCCAGCAGCCCTTGGAGGGCTGGCCAGCTCGCTCCCAAAGCTTCAAAATCCATGAGTATCCTCAAGACACGTGTGCCCACAGATGGAGGGATGAGCCAGTGTGGCTGCAGATGGCCTGTGCCTCCTCCACACCGTGCCCCCCCGTGCCCACGCCCACCCAGGCAACCTGCAAGTGCCTGAACCAGAGATGCAGATAAGGCAGCTATCGGAACATGCTGTAAATACCTACAGCCCTCTCTGCTACTGGCACACTGGCACAACAGGGAGCCAGAGGCTCTCCAGGCCCTGGCAGGGCTCTGCCAGAGCTGTATCTGTGTCCAAAGGAGCCCGGTTCAGCAGGGTCTGGCAGTGTGGCTGTGGGGTAGGACAGCAGGGAGAGAAGATGGGATTCCCCTGCTGGTATCTCAGCAGGGACATTGTTCCCGTGGTGCAGCAGGGGACCGGGGAAGGGCTGGGTGTTGGCTGGCATTTCTTGGACAGTCTCCCATCTCCTGCTTCTCCAGCACACCCAGAGCAGGATAGGCAGGGAGAGGAGCCAGCTCAGGGGGGCTGAGGCCGCCGGGCAGGGGCCAGCCCGAGTTACTGGGACAGCTGCGGCTTAAACTGCAGCCAGGAGGGATCAAGGGTGGACACTCACAAAAGTTTCTGCCTGCAGGAAGATGAAGGGTGGGAAGAGATCCCCACTATAGTGTGGGCTACTGGCTGGGCTCTTCCAGTGGTGCAATGGATGAGAGATCACCCTGTAGGTCCAACACACAGAATCATGGAATTGTTTAGGTTGGAAAAGACCTCTAGGGTTATCAAGTGCAACTACTACCCCAGCACTGCCAAGGCCACCACTAACCCATGTCCCCAAGTTCCACATCCACATGGCTTTTAAATCCCTCCAGGGATGGGGACTCCACCTCTGCCCTGGGCAGCTGTGCCAGTGCCTGACCACCCTTCCAGTGAAGAAATTTTCCCAAATATCCAACCTAAACCTCCTCTGGTACAGCTTGAGGCCGTTTCTTCTTGTCCTGTCCCTTGTTCCCTGGGAGCAGAACCCAACCCCCACCTGGCTCCCCCCTTCCTGTCAGGGAGTTGCAGAGCCAGAAGGTCCCCCCTGAGCCTCCTTTTCTCCAGGCTGAGCCCCCCCAGCTCCCTCAGCCATTCCCATAGGACCACCACAAACTGCCATAGCCAGAGGAATATACAGCATCTGTCTTAACCCAAGAGGGAAAGGGCCTGGGCGAGGTGGGAATTTCAGGAAGGAGGGAGCTGTTGGGACGTGGAGTCAGGCTGGGACAAGTGCAGCAACACAGGTACCAGGCTCTGGAAGGGCTGGGAACAGTGGCCCCAGTGGGTTCCACGGCATGGCGAGTGCTGGGTCTGCTCGGTGCCAGGGAAGCGTGGCTGTGCTGGGACAGCTGCCTGGGAAAGCCGGAGGCAGCAGGAGCTGAGGCAGCACCGGCAGCATGCAGGGAGCAGGCAGCGATACCAACCTGTGGCCGAGGAGCCCAGGGTGCGTCCGGGGTAAGCTGTTAGCAGGGGACACGGGGAGAGAGAAAAGGAAATGTGAGTCCGAGGAGGGAGGCAGCAGCCTGGGTCTGGCCCAGGACAAGGAGGGAGCTGACGGCCACATTCCCAGCAGGAGAGATGGAGTTGCAGCCTGTGAGGAGCGACCTGCAGCTCCCGGAATAAGCGCTGAACTCATCTTCCTGCACGACGGGGATGTGGCTCGGGGTGTCCTGCACCCCAACCCTGTGCTGCTCAGAGGGTTATTGCCTTCCCCGGAGGCGTTCACGGAGCACACGGAGCCCAGCCAGCCAGGGCTAGGACAGCCACCAACCTGGCAAGTGTCCTGGGGTCACCTGTACCCCACCCCCCTGGCTGGTGATGGCAACCGGGAGGTCATTCCTTACAGGGGGACACTTGCTAATTAGCACATATCAGTAATTAGGTTCACCAGCATGCACCACAACCTGGCATGACCTCACAGCAAGCTTTCCATTGCCGGACTGGGAGATTCCCTGACCCTCAGCTAGGGACAGTCCCTCCAAGCACACAGTTGGACCCAGCTGGAGCGTGCCTGCATCCACGTGGGATGGCTGAGCGGAGAGGCGGGAGGGTGGCAGGCAGGGAGAAGGAGATGGAATCTGCCAGGCTTAAGCAGAGGGTGTGTGGGAGCTCTCTGGGATGCACCCTGACAATTCAGAATTGATGGTGACAGTCACAACTCCCCCAGGACAGGTGACACTCAATTCCATGGGTGTTTTCACATGTCGTGGGGAGCAGAGGGGCTCCTTGGATTACACTGCTGTGAACAGAGCCGATGGGAAGGGAGACAAAATGGAAGGCTGCTGTGTAATGGAGGGGCGAGGGTGCCTGCGATGGCACCCCTCTATATTGGCTTACAGCTCCAAAGGTCACACATATTCCGTGACAGTCCTGCCTTGCTGCTCTCCCAGCTGTCCCACTCTTCCCAGCCAGCTGAGCCAGCAGCTCTGCAACCTCCAGCCTCCCCCCTCTGATGGGTGGGCACAGGGGTGGGGGCACAGAGGCACCAGTGACGGAATGAACCCCCTCGGGACAGGGGCACCGTGCAGAGGAAGGGCTGAGAGGGCTCCCAGCGTGTCCTCACCTGCCCTGCAAGGTCAAGAGGGCTCCCTGGGCCAACCCTGTAACTAATGTGCAGGTTTCTCTAATTACACTGCTAATGAGGGACTGGGATCCATGGGTATGAAAGGCAAACTGCTGAGCTGGAGGTTTCCAGGATGGGGTTGTGCGTGCCAGGGTATGGCTGGGCTGTCAGAGATCCTTCAAGGAGTTTGGTGGCCACTGAAATATTTTGGAGGGGAGCACAGCCAGGTTGTCTCACAGCTGAGCCAAGGACTGCAGGGCATCCCTGTGCCCTGCCCTGTGCCAGCACTGGGGTGGCATCTGCACCGTGAGGGTGCCGTGAAGGACACAGGGGTTTGTGCTGGGAGCTGACCCGAGAACTGTCAGCCCAAGGGGTGGCTGCTCCTCATGGTGAGGTGGAACAGACCACGGAGCATTGAGGTGAGGCTGTGAGTCACACCAGGACCTGCTGTCTGAGGTGAGTCCTGCTTGAGAGCTGGGTTTGAGAGGGACTGGGAAAACACAAGGGTTAGTGGTTGTTTCCTCAGGAGCTGAGAGGGAGAAAGGCAGTGGGAACCCGAGAAACAACTGCTTCCTCCCCAGAAGGGAGCAGGGAGGTGGCTGCTTGGGCATGGGATGGATGAAGGGCAGGGTTGGATGTCCTGAGGGCTGGGAACTGAGGCTGGGGGCTGCGTCCTCTGGCTGTGAACAGCAAAGTGAGGGTTAGAGCCCACCAGCTACCCCATAACCCCAATCATCTTCCTAAACTGTGTCCCAGGTTGAGTTGACAGCAAATGCCACCAACATGGACCAGAGCAGCTTGGAGAGGAGTTTGGGATGTTGCTGGACCTGTGAGCTCCAGGATGGAGGCAGGAGCAGGCTGTGGGGGTGCATGCTGGGATGCCAGCCCTGTGTTCCTGGTGCTCCTTTCCCAGGCATGCGGCAGTGCTGTGCTGGCTGTGCCAGGGGACAGTCCAGCAGCTGTGGGGTGACAGTCAGGCTGCAGCAGGACGTGTTGCTGTGACCCTCACTTACTCTCCCACATGGCAAGTGAGTCGTGGTCCCCAGCCACTGGCACCAGCACGGAGCAAGGCAGGTGAGGGCACAGCTCGTGTTCTATGAGACCCACTCCTTCCAGAATCCCGTGGGTGGGTGGTGGGTGATGTCCAGCATGCTCTGGTCTTGAGGGGACAGGATCTGGGCTGGTGGTGAGGATTCTACAGCCCTGTCCCTGCCCCATGGGTTCCCTGTGCTCCCCACTGGCTCCGTGCTGGAGATGGGCTGGCTGGGTAGGGAGGTGTTCGAGCCTGTTTATGGAATGTCTGACCCAGGTTTAGGAGCTGCAGTGAGGATGCTTGGAAAACAGGGGTTCTGCCCTACAGGGATGTACCCCAGGGGTTTGTCCAGCTGAACGTAGGACCTCTGTGCTGGTGGAGCAAGTCCAGCTGTAAAAGGCAGATCTGTGGGGAGGGTGTACCCTGGTCCTGCTTCACCAAGACAGAGGGCGTGGCTTCAGGTGGTTGGGCCTGGAAAGCTGGGGATGCAGGCAGAGCTGCAGGACATGGAGGACAGCTCCAGGACCTTGGCAGGGGGTGGATGGGGGCATGAAGCCCTGGGTCACCAGCAGCAGGGACTCCAGCATCCCCTGGATGATCAGAGGACATCTGGCCTTGGCTCAGGACAGGGGTTGGGTAGGGGTTCATAGGAGAGCTACCCCAGTGAACAGGGACCTCAGACTTAGGATTGAGCCCTCTGTGCTTGGAAAGTGAGGCTGCTTGTAGTCACAAGAGCTTTTTATACCTTGTGGGCATCTTGGGGCAGGGCTTCCTCTTCTGGAGGGACACGTGTGTGGCTGGGCTCAGCCCACACCATGCCAGGGGCCACAGGGACCTGCTCACCCATCCAACGTGCCTGAGATTGCCAAGGGGTGGAAACTCCAACGCTCAGGATGAGTGAAGGCTGCGGAGCTTGAGGGATACCGTGCCCACATGGCTGTGTCCTGTACCCATCAGGAAGGATGCCAGCTCCAGCCACCCCCAGAAGGCTCATCCCCAGCCTTGAGAGGTCCTGAGCTTCCTTGCCAAGGCTGTTTCGTTGGGCCATGATCTCTGCTTGGCAGGGGGACAGGGCATTGATGTTGAGCAGGTGGGGGACCCAGAGCAGGCAGGGCTCAATGCTCAGCCCACACAGATGGCCCTGACAGCAGATGGGCTAAGGCAGATGCAGGAAACCCCGCTGCTGGGTTCACTAGGGCATGGCCTCTAAGCCCAGCATGTGCATGGACTTCTTGGGAAGCTGCAAAGGAAGACACACTATCCGAGGCTTTCCATGATCTGCTCTCTGCGCTGTTATCTGCATCCCAAGGACCTGGTGGTGCTGGAGACCCCAGTGCCCGTGGCATTACCTGTGATCTCATGCTGCCTCAGCTCATTGTATCTGTAGGAGTGCTCCAGGGGCTTGATGGAGGAGTGGTAGATCTTCCTCAGCCGCTGCAGTACTCCTGGAGGGGGGGAAAACACATGGGCAGGTGAAAGGCAAACCCCACGGCCCAGGGGGAGTCCCTCCCTTGGGCATTCCCTGCAGGAAGGACACTCCTTGCAGGTCCTGAGGGTGGCTCAGCTGTGGATCGAGAGACTTGGCTCACAGCTGAAACCTTGGCCAAACCGATCCCAGTCACACATTTTGCCCAGAGAAGCTGTGGCTGCCCCATCCCTGGAAGTGTCCAAGGCCAGGATGGACAGGCCTTGGAGCAACCTGGGCTAGTGAAAGGTATCCCTGCCCATGGCAAGGGTTTGGAACGGGATGCTCTTCAAGGTCTCTCCCAACCCAAATAATTTTAAGATTCTATGATTTTGATGCCTGCTAATGTTTCCTGCTGGGCACTGTCCCCATCTGCTGCCAGTAGCTGATGGGAGGAACATCCCTTCTAAGTGCTGTTTAGCACTCAACACCCACGATCCCAAAAATCCCTCCACCAATGTGCCAGGGCTCCCTGGTATGGCCCTTAAACTGCTCACTGGAAAAAAAGGAGGACCTTTTTCCACAGTATCTCTTATCACTGTCTTACCAGCCCAGACCACTCACGGGGCCTGCAGAAGAAATCCTTAGAGTAGCAAAACCCCAAAAATAATTGGAATAAAAATCCCAGCCCTTTGTTATGAGCTGCCCCAGGTTTCTCTGGGCAGAGATGTGCCCGATTCGCCAACTGCATCTTCCAGCCTCTCTCCCCTCCTAATTCTTGTACACCCATGGGGCTGTCTTTAAAACACCTAAAATACGCTAACCCAAGAGCAGCCAAAGGGCAGTTATTGAAGATGTGGCATTACTGGACCTGGAAGAAGGAAAGTTAAAATCAAAACACTCTAGGGAAGGAAAATCCCCTCCCTGCTCTTAGTGCAGAGTGGTGAGGAGCTTGTCCTGCAGGGATGGTGTGGGCTGAAGGAGCAGGGTGTGCATAACCCCCTCACCTGAGACATCATCGGCAGGTTTTTCCTCGTTCAGCTTGAGGGTGTTCTCCAAGTGGGACCGGTCACGCTTGGTGGGCTCGCTGGCATCTTCAACCTCTTCTGCAGGAGAAAAGCAAGAGACCCGTTACTGCCGGTGGGGAGGATGCACACAGCAGCTCACGCAAGCGACCACCAGGGAGAGGCCGTGGGGAGCACACACACCCCGAGCCCATGGGGAGCATACACACCCCGAGCCCACGGCATGGAGAGCACACACCCCCCGAACCCGCGGCGTGGGGAGCACACACACCCCGAGCCCTCGGCATGGGAAGCACACACCCCCCGAGCCCGTGGGGAGCACACACCCCCCGAGCCCGTGGGGAGCACACACACCCCGAGCCCGTGGGGAGCACACACACCCCGAACCCGCGGGCGCACCATGCGCCACAGCAGCCGCTGTCACCCTCGGCACGCCCCGTGCCTTCCCTGCTGCACGGGCTCCTGGAAGCTGCCAGGGCTGTGCCTGCTGGGGGAAGCGTCGTGGGCAACTGCTTGGCTCCGAGGAGGGCCCGGCCGCTCCCGGGGAATGCGAAGGACGTGCCTGGGAGGTACTCCCAGGGTTGGGATGTGGCACGAGCGCGTGGCAGCTGCTGCCCGACGGGGCCCCGGCGCTTCCCCCGGCGGCTGCGGCTCCCCGGGGGCTCAGCCTTGAGGGCAGACTCTACGCTGACATCTCTCTTTGACCATTCCCCGCAAAAACTACACATTGAGCCGGGATTCACGAGGCTGGGGCTGGCTCTGGCTCCTGGGGGACAGCCCAGCCTGACACGTCCTGGCTGCCTCGCCTTTGCCAGCAGGGCCATTCCCTCCCAGTTCTCCCACCTCTGCCCCCATATCAACCTGGAGCCCTCTGCCTGGTGCCCTGTGCCTTGTGGCTCCGTCCCAGGCATGGGGAGCATGAGGCAGCTGCCTCCATCCGGGGAAGGCACCCCAGTGTCCCCAAAACTTGGAGGCAGAGGTGTCCTCACCATGGAGGTGCTGGCACACCAAGAGCCACCAAGAGCTTTTCAGTAAAGGGAGCTGGGTTGGGCTGTAATGGGGGTTTGGGGGCAGGTCTGGGGACACCAGGGCCAAGGGGGGCACCACCAAGGCATGGGACTGTGTTGAGCATCTGCAGAGCATTGGGCTGAGGAAGACCTTTTGACTTGCCAAGTGAAGCCACAGAGACCAAACTGGGCTTGCCTTTTGGGAAAAATGGGAGGTTTTTTGAGCTGGCACGTTAGTAGATGAAAGAGAAAAAAAGACTCAGCTGAGTCCGAAGGTCACTGCCCAGCCAGTGGGCCAAAGTCTACAAGTATTTCTAGGAAATCGTGGTGGGGGGTGTCCCTTTTCCTTAGTTAGCCTTTCACTGATTGAGCGGGGCCAGTGCATTGGTAACTCACTGGTCTGGATTAGCTCTTCACACTTTCCCTATGAGCCAAGAGCTGGTGGAGAAGAGACCCACCATCCCAGGAGCATCCTGCCCCTGCACCGAGCTGAGGGTCCGGAGGACTCTGCAGGTGGAGAATAAAGAGCCTTTAAGATGTCTGTGGGTGCTGGAAGGGGCCTGGGGCTTAAAAATCTTGTCCATGTCCACATCCCTGAGAAGACATCATGGACTTAAAGTGGAGCGAGGGGAACATCAGCCAGTTTTGGTGCTGCTGTACCGAGCGCCCGCACGACGGGCACCTGCGGGCTCCTGCTGTGCCCTGGCTGCCCACGGCTGTGTTAGGGGCAGGTGGGGAAGCACAAGCATTAGGACAGGGCCATGCACTAGGCGAGGTTTAATGTGCCAAGCTCAGCTCCACCGGGGTTGATAGTAGGTCACTCTCACCGCTAGAGCACACCCACAAGAAAAGATTCCAACCTATCTGGCTGTGCAGGGGCTCGGCAGCAGCTGGGGGGGTGCTGGGGACCTCTGCTTCTGCCGATGGGGGATTGTCTGCAGGGGGGTCTTCTGCCACTGCTGGGGGATCTTCTGCTGCTGCTGGTGGGTCTTCTTTTGCTGGTGGGTCTTCCACTGCTGCTGGTGGATCTGCTGCTGGTGGATCTGCTGCTGGCGGGTCTTCTGCTTCATCCCCACAGGGTGGGTGATGGCAGCTGGCAGGGCCATCCCTGGCTTCTCCCATGCCAGCAGCTGCTTGTTTGCCATGGCTCTCTTTGTCAGAAGTGCTGGCTGCTTCCTTGTCACTCCCTTCACTTTCGTTCTCTGACCTCTCACCGTCTTCCTCAGATTCTTTCTCCTCCTTAGAGTCTCCCTCCTCCTCAGACTCTCCCTTGCCTCCATCTTCCTCAGACCCCCCGTGTTGACCTTTGTCAGACTCTCCTTGCTCATCATCTTCCTCCGAGCTCTGCTCATCCCCTTCTTCTCCCCCCTCCAGAGCAGACGCTCCTCTTGGCTCCTCTGTTTCCTCTTCCCCAGGCTGCCCTTGCTCCTCAGAGCCTCCTTTCTCCATGCCAGGCTCCTCATCCTCCCGGGCACGGTTGGCAACTTGTGTGCCAGACCCGTGGATCCCTCCGTGATGCGCTGCCAGGGCATCCTCCCCTGGGCTCTGTCCCTCCTGGCCCTTCTCCTCGGTGGTCTCCTCTGTCTGGCTGTCCCCTGGCCCCAGGCCCCTGCTCAGGCTCTGCGCCGGTTCTTCCTCCCCCTCTCCACGTCCCTCCTCAGCGGCGCCGGGCAAGGAGGCGTTGGCAGTGCCACTGTCTTGCTCCTCCTCAGGGCTGCCATCAGCCACCTTCTCCTCCAGCCGGGGCTCTGTGGCTGGCAGGGGGCTTTCGGCAGCACCGTGGTCCGTGCCGGGGGCGCGCGGCTCTAAACGATGAGAACAGCTCGGTCAGTCTCACCCGCGCCGGCACGCGGCTACTGGGGCACCCTCCGACCCCCGCCAGCACGGGGGGCCCTGAGGGACGAGTCGTGGCTGTTACCAAGAGGTTTAAACTCATCCCCAAACATTCTCTAGTCCCAGCTCAATTTTCTGTCCCTGTCACAAGAAGCTGGGCGCAAAGATGTGTTTGTGGGGCGCAAAGCCGAGCTGGCAGGGAGCTCTGTGGCTGTGCTGGTTGGGGCTGCCACCCACCACAAAGCACTGCAGGAAGGTGGCAAAGCAGCCCTAAAAAAAAACAGGGGAAAGGAGTAAAAATAACAATTCTGACGGGGGCTGTGGGCACTTGGCAGGTTAAAAGGGTCCTTCCCCAGCCCTGACTCGGGAGAGCATCACACCAGCCATGGTGAGTGGCAGGGTGAGAGGGAGGAGGAGGAAGGAGCTTCCTGGCACAAGGGGCTTCCCAGCACGGGGTCCTGCCTTTCCACAGGCAGGGACTGACCCCGGCTGCAGGGCTTGGGAGCTATTTATTGTGAGTGTCCCTTCACTAGGAAAGCATCTGCCTGGCCGTGCCGCTGGCGGGGACACAATGAGTTTGTTCTGTGGCCCGGGAGAATCCATCCCTATTTTCCATAGGCTCCAACTGCAATTTAACATTAGTCAACGGGTGCCAAAAATAAAAGATCACGGCTATACTGTCTCCATTACAAACAGTTGCTGCTAGTCTAAATAATCCCCCCAAACGCCGAGTGCCAGGGGAGCATTTCAGAGGAAAGTAATTCCTTTGTACACCAGCTGGCAAGCAGATGCCAAGCAAGAAAAAATACCATCTCCACCCAGGCTGCGGGAGGAGAGCGGGCAGTGCTGGGCACAGGCAGCCCTCTGCTCCAGCTCCCGCGCCGTGTCCGTGCAGGAGCCGTGGGACAGTGTCCAGTGGAGCATCAGCAGGACCTCAGCAAAGCTGGGGCACAGTGGCTGAGTACGGGAGGCTGAGGGCCGGGACCAGCACAGTGCCAGCCCCAGAGCACTCAGCCCAGTTTGCCCTGGCTGGGATGCTGGGTGGGTGGTTGTATCCCCATTGTGCCCGTGGGGCTGTTACCTGGGATCGGGTCGCACTGGGAGGCTCGTGCCGTGCCAGCAGCGGGCACTGGGAAGGACAGGCTGCCCCCCAGCCTGCCCGCATTCCCAGCGGCTCTCAGCTCCCCGGCACGACAGAGCCGCCGCCACCACCACGGCTCCTCACCGTGCCCAGAGCGGGTGCGTGGGTCACCCTGTCCCTGCCCTCACTGACCAAACTGTCCTTTGCTGGCACAGGACCTGCAGGTGCATCTGGGCTGCCAGCTCAGCTCCCAGATGGAAGGGAGATGGGTGGTGGGCATCTCCCACCCTCCTCCCTGCTGCCCTTGTCTTTCAGGCAGCACCTTCCTGTGGGACCCCTGGGGACCCTGCAGGAGCTGCTTGAAGGGGAACATCTTACCTTTGACCTGCAAAACCCTGAGTGGCTGAGGGCCAACATGCCCCTGCCTGGCCCTGGTGGTCTGGGAACCAGCCTGGGTCACTGGAGGGTCCTCTAATCTGATGGGAATGGGAATATTGTAAGCTTGGGCCCAAAATAGCTGCTGACCTGGAGGGCTGGAAGAGGAGTGATGGTCAAAGTGGAGAAGGGAGGCAGGACCAGGCAGAGGAGACCCTGAATGTTCTGAGGGCTTTGTCTGGGGTCTGTGTGTCTCCTCTGACCAAGAGGGACCATCACCCCCCATGGCCAGGCACAACTGCAACCCCAGTGCCCACCACCAGCCATTCCTTGCAGGGAAAGGGAAATATCCCCCAGGCGCTCCAACGGGGATGTCCCTGCCAGTGTGCTGGTCATGGGCTTTTTTTCCTGTGACCTTCAATGTCTTACACAAAGTCCCCGTCCCCTCTGCACCTCCTTCTCCCTCCTGTTTCCCCTACATGGTCTCCCAGTCCCTGGTGGGGTGAGTTGTGCTGACCTGCAGATGGCCGGGCAACGAGCGTGAAATGGGCCGAAGGTTACGGGCTTAACACCCTCCGTGCACCCGCCAGGGGCTAAAAATAGGGCAACAGCAACTGTACGTGGGGATCAGGAGGAGCAGTGGTGAAGCCCCAGCCCCCTCGGCTGCTGGCCCCGGCCCCTCACCCTGCTGTCAGCCAAGGGTGACGTCTGCCCCTGGGGGCCCCCGTGGGCTCCGGGAGGGGACAGCCACGGTGTAAAGTGACACCGGGGCTCCCTGTGTTCAC